TCTGCCCCTCCACCCCGCCCCCGGGCAGCATGCCAGTGCACCCCTCCACCCTGCCCCCAGGTAGCATGCCAGTGCACCCCCTGCACCTCTACCCCCCAGCATGCCAGTGCACCCCTGCACCTCTGCCTATGCGCAGCAGCAAAGCCCCAGCCTACAACAGAGAGAAACCCTTACTTCCCTCGGACACCTGGACAAAGGCTCACCCTGGTGGAGAGGGACCTCCTGCTCCACCCCCAGTCAAACCACCTCCTTCCCCCGTGAATATCAGAACCGGACCAAGTGGCCAGTCTCTAGCACCCTCTCCTTCGCCTTACCTTCAGCCTCCTGGGGTCCCCAATGGACCCTCCAGTCCCACTAATGAGTCAGCTCCTGAGCTGCCACAGAGCCATAATTCTTTGCATAGGAAGACACCAGGGCCCGCCAGAGGCCTAGCACCGCCTCCACCCACCTCAGTAATAGGCCACATCCCCCTACCCAAGACCCTCCCCGGGGATCCTCCACACCCACCACCCGCGATCCGAAATGGTGCCGGAGATGCTCCCCCACCACCCCCATCATACCGAATGCATGGGTCGGCAACCCAGAGCCGAAGAGAGCCCCCACCTCCACCCTCAGGACGCCAACAGGGCCACCCCCTCCTCCACCGCCACCTTTGAGGAATGGCCACAGAGATTCTGTCACCACTGTTCGATCTTTCTGGGATGATTTTGAATCAAAGTGTTCCTTCTATCCAGTAGACTTTCCTGCTCCAGAAGAACATAAACACTTTCAGAGAATATATCCCAGCAAAACAAACCGAGCTGCCCGTGGCGCCCCCTCTACCACCCTTTCTCAGGTGAAGCTTGGCTTGGTCCTGTTCCTCTCTTCTTCTCAGAGGTCCCTTCCCTTCCCCCGGAAACTTGCGTGAGGGCTCCCAATGTGTTTCTCCAGGGCGACCAACCCTAGACACCAAGTATCCTCCCGGCTCAGCTCCATCTACACATCTCGTCTCTGGACTTGGTGATGGGACTCTTTATATTGATATGGAGTCTCAAACCCTCATCCACCTTCCTCTACCAAGCCCTGCTAGCCAGATGAGGAAAAAGCTGCTGTGTCTCCTGCCTTCCGCTTGGGCAAAGTGCCTTGTTGTGATGGATTAACTCCTTGCTGGGACAGGGCAGCAGGATATTCCTTCCTCCTCCTCCCCGCGGTGGGGGAAGCCTGGCGGGTCTGTTACATTTCATCATTTAGCAGGGTAGCCTGGCCAGGGCTTCTGAGTGGGAAGGGAGCATTTTTAGTGAAGCAGGAAAGGAGTTTGGAGAGAAGTGATCTGTTTTAAAGTCAAATTTGGAGAAAGGGCAAGGACATGGGTGTGCTTTATTTTTAGGGATATTTTGGTTTTGTTCTCACTCCTACCCCTGACCTCCACCCCAGGGATAAGTTAGACATAAATACTAAAAACTAATCAGTTGAACTAAACATTTAATAAAAAGAGAGAGTGAAATTAAAAAAAAATGTAATTATGGCTCAGCGCCTATAGCTCAACCGGCTAAGGCGCCAGCCACGTACACCTAAGGTGGCGGGTTCGAATCCCCAGCCGGACCCGCCAAACAACAATGACGGCTGCAACCAAAAAATAGCCGGGCGTTGTGGCGGGCGCCTGTGGTCCCAGCTACTTGGGAGGCGGAGGCAGGAGACTCGCTGGAGCCCAGGAGTTGGAGGTTGCTGTGAGCTGTAATGCCACGGCACTCTGCCCAGGGGGACAGCTTGAAGCTCTGTCTCAAAAAAAAAAAAAAAAGTAATTATAACAGTATACTTTCACAAAATTAAAGGCCAAAGCAAGAAGATAATGAGCCCTTCTCATTGTTCTTTTTCAGTCAAAGAGAAAGATAGCATAGCAGCCATCACATATTTTAAAAAAGGTTCAATTAAAAAATGCCCTAATGTTGTATGTTTCTTGTATATTTCTATATTAAGCTAGTGGGACCTGCTAACTCCCAAAGGTAGATTGCAGAGAAATTAATTTGCTGGACTCTGCTGGAAAAGTATCAAAGTAGTGGGCCTTTGAGAGGACAATTTTTTCTTGAATTATACATGTTGAAAGATCCTCCTTTCCTTCTACTTTAGAAAAAATGCCTATATTGGGGTTCATGCAATGACATCTTAAACACAGATGTGAAGGTACAGATTTTGTTATCTACTTATATTACTGTATTTACATTACATTCTTGTCTATGTTTAAAGAAATACACAATTTACATGAGAACAAAAATCTGAAGTCTTCTGAAATATTCAGACAGTACAACACTTCAATCTGGGAGTCTGCTTTAACCAAATAGCATCTTTACCAGCAATCAGCTCTTTCAAGTAGGAGCAGAAAAGAACATAAGCATTATCTTGGTTATTATAGAGAAAAGATTTATTACCAGGGAGCAACCTCGCCAGCAGTGGCACCCTGTACCAGCGAGGAGACACTACGAAGTATTGCTCATTCCTTCACCAACCTCAGTTAAAAGCGATAGAGTCTGTGTATGCAGCAAGTATAAGGACCACAGGAGTCACTCAGTAGATTGAAGTGCTAATGAATTGTCACTTCTGTATTATAATGCCAATTTTTAAAGAGTGACCTCTAAAACTCATTAACAAAATTATATTAATAAGCAAGCTTTAACAAAGAAAATTTCTGGCTTAATCATGTGTCTCAGATTTTCACTCAATTTCATCCATTCATTCTATGGCGACTTTTGGCTTCAGCCAAATACTGATTTCAACTTGGCCATCGGTGATTAGGTGGCAAAATTTTTAAGACCTTGCTTTGTCTGAAAATACCTTTATGCTAACTTTACACTCAATAATTTGGCTGAACACAAAATTCTAAGTTGAAAATCATTTTCCTATAGAACACCATAAGCAGTGGTCCCCATGTTGTGGCTTCCAGGGTTACTTTTGAGAAATCCAGTCCATGTTGATTTCTGATGTCTTTTATTTGACCAGTTTTCTCCCCTGACTCTTTCTAGAAGCATTTCAGATGTTTTTTTTTTATTGACAGGGCTCAGAAATGTCAGTTTCAGATACATAGTCTATTTTCCTCTGTGATGGATGCTCAGTCCTTTCAATGTGTAAATTCATAGGTTTTGGGGGTTTCTTTTTTTTTTTTTTTTAGTTCTAAGAACTTTTTTTTTTAATTTCTTTGACTTGTGCTTCTATTTTCTCCTTCAGGAACTACTATTATTAGGATATTGGTCTTTTTCTCAGGAACTGCTTCCACCAGCTTAAGCTTGAGAAATGTGTGTTAAAATATAAATGCAGGGTTTTATATTTATCTCAAAATTTTTCTTATTCATTAGAAAAAAACAAGCCCCTTTACATAAAGAGGAAGGAAGCCTAGTGGGTGGGGGAGAATGGAAATATGGACCGGAGTTGGCCAGTTTCTACTCTTCGACTCCTCCATGTTCCAAAACGAGCCCACCCCTGCCAGCACTGACGGAAGCTGGGCCCACACCAGGCACCCTGATTTCCATTCTGAGGTTTGCCACACACTGTTGAGTGATCTTGGGCGAGCCATATCAACTCTCTGGATCCGTATTTACTCGTCAGTGAAAAGAAATGTGAAAAATAATACCTGCACAGCCTGATAAAATAATAGCATTTCCTCACATGGTGACGTGTGAACCTGTGACGGCAAGTATTTGAAACCAAGCTTTATCTGAGTGGGTGAAAGTATTTTTATTGCTACCACATGAGAGTTGGTAGTTTTCAGATACTGTGTTTCTCTTCTCCCTCCAGAACACTGATTTTCAACAGGTGTGCCACGGCTGTTGCACCAGAGGATCTTAGATGTGCTGCGAAAATTTTTATAGATCATTCATTAAATTATTTTCAAAAGAAGTTCAAAGCACAGTAAGTATATTCTTTTTTTTACTTTTTTTTGGATCAACATAATTTAAATGTGCCACAAAATTTTAACTATAGGTTAAATGTGCCGTGAGATTAAAAAGGTTGAGTGGGCTGTGCACAGTGGCTCAGGCCTGTAATGCCGGCACTCTGGGAGCTTAGGCAGGTGGACTGCCTGAGCTGACAGGTTCAAGACCAGCCTGAACAAGAGTGAGACTCTGCCTCTAAAAATAGCAGGGCATTGTGGTAGGCTCCTGTAGTCCCCGCTATTCGGGAGGTTGAGGCAAAAGGATTGCTTAAGCACAGGAGTTTGAGGTTGCTGTGAGCTATGACACCACTGCATTCTACCAAGGGTGACAAGTGAGACTCTGTCAAAAAAAAAAACAAAGGGTTGAGAAACACTGTTTTAGAAATTTTTGAGGGAGCAGAGCCTCAGATCCTTAGATGACAATTCCAGAGACAGGTTTTCACTGTGACTACCACCTCCCTCAATAGTAGGCTCAGAGGCTCAGATACCTTGAGCACTGATTGTGTCACTTGGAAGTGGACAGAGGTCAGACTCAAACACTTCCCCAGCCCTTGACTTTAGGCTTACAATCCAGACCTGGTTTGGGCACAAGAGCCTGCATTTCCCTGTTTGAGCCTAAAAGCCCATGGCTGTCATTTAACCTTTAAGAACACAGACTTTACCTTTATCTGGGGATAACCTGGAAGGTCCTGTCATGTCCCCAGCCCACCCTGCCTGTCTCTACTGTCACTGCCACAGCCTTCACGAGGGCGCAGGCTTGGTTAAAGCTTCCTGTGTCTAATGTTTACCTCTGTCTTACTCTCCTACAGCCCCCGCTCTGTGTTACAGCCTTAACTTTCCATGTCCTTATCTTTTAGTTATGTCTCATATAAATAGCACATCACTGTTTTATCTTTTTTTTTTTTTTTTTTTTGAAAAAATATGGAACGCTTCACGAATTTGCGTGTCATCCTTGCGCAGGGGCCATGCTAATCTTCTCTGTATCGTTCCAATTTTAGTATATGTGCTGCCGAAGCGAGCACCACTGTTTTATCTTAACCTGAAAATTCTTGCCTGTCTTTGCCTTTTATAAAAATTACTAAGCTATTTCCTTCACTTCATTGTCTTCTCTCTGCAGATTTGGAATGTTTGCATGCTATTTCCATTCTTTTAGTGGTTACCTCAAAGCTTACCATACATGTTTATCTTATGGTCTTAAAATTGAACTATATCTCCCTTCCTAGAGGCCCTAGAATTTAGCTCCAGGCCTCTCTGGGCCTCAATTCATGGTAATATTTAGAATATTTTAGTTCTGACTCTTTAATATCTTCGCTAACTCTCAACTTCTCTTTCATTTTTTTCTTTATTCTTTTATTTCTTTGCTGCATTCTAAACAAATTCTCTTTCAATGTATCTGATCTTTTGTTTAATCCATTGACCATGTTTTTCATTTCAGTGGTTATATTTTTCATTCCTAGAGTTTCTATTTGTTTGTTATTCAAATCTGTCTGTCATCTTGGCTGGTTTTCTTTAGTAAACTCAACATTGTAAATGGCATCCTCGTTTGGGATAAGACAGGAGGCAGGGTCAAAGAAGTACTCATAAAAAAATTAAAAATACTTAGAACCAAATGATCGTGAAATCACCATATATCAAAGCTTGTGGGATTGCAGCATATATGGTGTTTGAAATTTTTTTCAAAAGTTTGAAACAAACATTTGAAAGAAGCATTTCAAACAAATGTTTACAATCCTGAAATACTTATATTAGAAAAGAAGAAAAGCTGAAAATTAATTAGGTAGGTCTCTATCCTAAGTTAGAAAAACAATAGAAACCCCAAAGAGAGTAGAAGGAAGTAAATAACAGGGGTGAGGGTAGAAATTAATGAAATAGAAAACAAAGAAAAACAGAATTAACAAAGCTGACAGTTGTTTCCTTTGAAAGGATAACCTGCACTTA